AAAGAATGAGTATTAAATAAAAAAAAAGCATAATGATCTAACGTACCTTTGGGTTATGATACAATAGCTGAACGAAATGTTTGATGAGTTGGATTCTCCTTCTGGGCAGAGAAATGTTGGAAGACCATTACCTCGTAGAATCAGACAGGTACCATCATTGTCTGTTCCTTTTGAACAAATTGGCCGCTTGCCAAGTTGGGGCGTCCGAGATGGCATTTGATTAATAAATCATTCTTTTTCTTCTTTTTCTAAATATGTATCGTGTTAAAATATGTTATATCAACGACACCTTAAAAAATACTCTCTCACCTTCATTGATGAATTAATTGAATAGCGGTATTAATTTTTATTACCTTAAAGCAAAATACGCTTGACTTTAATCATATTAGGCAGGTGATGTACATCATGTTTCAGATAACTGCATGAAAAAAATATTAGTCTCCTTTATTACTATTTCAAGTTTTATTTTCTTACAAGTTTAAATCAGGTCCACCATTCGACATTACCACGAACATTAACATGGCCAACAGTCAACACATGAATCTCCAGATCTTGAAACTGTAGAAGCAGAACCCGACTTTCTACTTTGCGTTTCCCAATCGTATACAAATACCTTTCCCCAAAACGCTCTTACATGTAGTCACCCTAATAATTTTCGTAATTGTAGGAATCACAGGCGTTCATTCAACACAACACCAGTATTTAATACAAGCGACCCAACACGTGTAAAGTGAATTACATGGTAACTGTTCATTCCAAGTTGCCAAACGAAGTGATTTCTCCCGCAGACCCCAAATCGACGATTTTTGTTGTCTGTATTTTAGGGTGCAGTAACGGTGATATATAATTAAGACAAATTGATGCCATATGCTTCTTCATTACCGCAAAGTCATAGACAGAGAGGCTCCTTCAATACGAGTTAAATATTCTTGAATTATTCCAATAATACATACGCCTTAATAAAAACATCTTTGATGCTATCTCATTCCTAAAAATGATGTGAAAGAAAAATATATATTGTAAGGTTTATAAAAAAAAATTGCATGTTACCAGAATTTAAAAGAATAATGTTTGAGCTAAATTAGTGATGATGTTGATATTAGTCAAATGTGATATCTTGATAGCAATAGGAGAGTGGATGACATGAACAGGAATGATGGACTCGTAAGACATGTCTTCAAATTCGTTTGCATAAACGCTCATATTATGATGAGCGAAAGAGCCCAATTGAATATCTGATTCCTTAAACCATCTAATTAAAAAATCATGCATTAGAAACTTTAAGTAAAATAAAAGACAGTACATATTACCTCACAAGGGCAAACGTGTGCATTATTTTTTCGACAACATTATCATCTCCCAAAACATCTGCAGAATGACGAAAAAACATCAGTACTTGCGCAGGTCGAAGAACACCAGAATTTGACAGGCATTTGTAATGCCGAGCAGCACGATCCCCAACTGTCTCATTTTCAATGATGATATCATTGTCATAATTTAAGCGGTAGAACGCACGGATGTATGATCCACGTGCGTTCGTACAAGATGATTCAATTGACTTGTAAACAGACCCGAACAAATCCAGTGTCACAAAAGGATACACGTTTCTGTCCGTGGTGGGAGCAGAGTAGGTGCAATTGTACACTTCGGTGTAATAGTCCAACAAGTGATTAAAAATTGCAGGATCCATTAGGATCGCATCCTTGACCTTCATACGTCGGAGTGCGCTTGGTGGCAGCTGCTCATAACCGTAACATAAATGATGGCCGTGGTTGATTGCCAAAAATTCGTAAAGTGAAAAAGCATTGAGGGAATCCACGTACTCATTTTCTACCCATGGATGAACATCATCGTACCCGTGAATATTTCCACCCGAAAACAATCTCTCTATTTTTTTGTTGTCATCCGATGCAAGTATCAAGTGTGAGTTCAGCGTCGAGTAATAGTCTTTGGCATGAACTGCACGTAAGAACTTCAACATAAATGTCTTCTCTACCGCGCCTTTACGATTCGTTTTGATGGACTTTATATCACAGTTGTATCGCTCAAAATTGAATATCCAAGATGATGGACCGGGGCCAAAACGTAACAAATTTTCACGCAAATGACTGTGAAAGTGCATATTGCTGACGAAAAGAGTTGGATCGTTATACGTCGTTACAAAATCGTTCAAGAATTTTTTCATATGGTGGTGCATAAGGTCAACTTCTTCCAGCGAGATCATCGGACTAGACAAATAAACATTTGCTGCAACAAAATCCATCCAGTTGTCATAGTATTCCTTAGGCAGCCTCATCGATAACAAGTATGGCGACATGGCCAAAACCCAAGTCTTAAACTCGTCACTCTTGACATGACCAAAACCGACATCACCGACCGTCATTTTTCTACTCATCGAAAGGCCGTCGTATCCAAAAGGGAGCACAAAGTTTTGGGAGCTGGACTTTGACATCTCTTTTAAATGATCCTTGGTAATCAATGGCTCTGTTCGGTTGTTTACCAAGTTATTTTCTTCACGCCAGATGTTACGCATCATTCTTTTTGCCGTTCCCATGAAGGTGTTGTGGCAAATATCGAATGCAACAAATTCAATGGGATTGAAATACGGAAGTCGAAGTAATTCACTGTATCTGACACCGTTTGCCTTTTCCAAGTTGGTTCTAGCGGTGGCAGTGGTAGCACGTTTCCAAATTTCGGCATCCAAACGATGAGTGACTGGATCACGAACAATCCAATCATCATTTCGAGGCGCATCTGCATAATTTCTTCGGTGAGTATGACCTGGAATTGATTCGAACAGATGGGTACAGTAATTACAGGCATTGGTTGAATTGTGAGAGGTCATACCAATCACTTTTCTTGTTGCTGGAAGGTCACAAGCAACCATTGTCAATGCAGCTTTGACAGTAACAATACCGTGATTTCTCGTTTGTATTTCAACACCATTGGACAACAAAAGCAATTCATCAACAAGAAGACGCAAATAATGATTCATTTGAAATGTTTTTGGCTCTCCAGGACCAGGAAGAAGACAAACAAGAACAACATTTTTTCTCAAATTTCTAACGTCGCGAGGCAAATTCTGAATGGTTAAATAAATTCCACCACAGCTATATACGCTGTTTGTATACAATTGGAACCAGTCGCAGTTAATTGTCAACATCAAATTGAAATCAGATTGTTGGACATATGGCATATCGTCAGTAGGATCCATCTTAAAGTCCCTCCATACGCTTCCATCATAAACATCCGACATAATTCCTGGAATAACAGTTCTTGACTTCCATCTTCTCACATCATCCACAAACCCTTCACGCAAAAAAAATGCCTGTAATGTTGATACAAGTGAGTTGTAATAAAATGATCGAATTGGTTTCAGTACGCTTCTGTTATTGACAGAGAAAAGTTTATTGCCACAGCGAGTTGATCCAGGAAAAGGTTCGACTGAAGAGCAGTTTTTTCCAATCAATCGATTTTTTTCAACTTCGGTGTCATAAGGATGAACGGCATGGCATACGGTACAGCTGACGTGCTCTTTCATTCCATGATACACAGTGGCACCAAGATTACACCAAGAAACAAATGTCTCGGCACGAACAGGGAATTTGTACTCGCTGTTGGCAAGCTTTAATGCAATATTGAGCATCACCATCAAAAGCTCACAACCTTCGTCGGTTAAATACTTGCCGTGAAACAAGAACACGGTCAAAAGAAAATAAACGCCAAAGGATCGGTAGGAAGATGAGCATTGTTGGAAAACCCAACAAAGGGATCTATTTAAAAAAAAGTTAACGCATATATTTACAATGGGCTTAACGTCGCTTCTACCTTCTTCAGGTTCAATGTCCTCGTTAACATCGTCCTCATCAGATTCTTGGCCTAAATCTTCTTCGCCACTTTCATTCTCGGTGTCATCGTTGTCTTGGTTTGACGCAACTGCAAATGGGGTAGTGGCTGGTATAATAATTGTGTTTAATTAAAGAACTCGTTAAAAACTATGCTTATGTTTATGAAATAAAAAATAAGATCGTTTACCATAAGTGTTGCTGGAATCAACTTCCATGTCACCTAACAAATAAAAAAAAAGAAAGGGTTTAATTTAGGTGAATGCGTCAAAATATTTCCGAGACCCATACTTGCAAGAATTAAAGCTGCACGTTTATCAGCTTTAGTATGGTTCAAAAGAGTGTTACGTGTAACTGTTTTGTAGCCATTGGGGCCTTTTCTGCATTCTGAGCATTTGCAATCGCGGTAAGCACTCGTGTTTTTAATAGGTCCCATTGTTTAGTTTGTTAATAATAATTTATAAAAAAGTGATTTATAAAAAGATGATTTATAAAAAAAAAAAGAAGCGAAAAAGGGGAAAAGAAAACAATGGCCCAGAAAGGTTAATAGTATCAGCGGAGTTGAAAGTACCCCACAATTTCAGCGCAATTTTTATGCGCGGAAGGAGACTCTCTTAAAAAAAGAAATAAGCCGTGTAATTTTAAAACAGCCATATCTCAATAGAATCTTAACCGAAAAATATAAAACTACTATAGAACGGTAGGCAAAAAAATAAGGAATCATATTTAATAAAGAAAGTCTGGGCTCATTTTTCAGGAAATTGAGAATTTCGTGCTTTAAGATGCAAATCCTTCATAAAAGGCTTATAAATAGCTTTCTTGTAATTTAGGGTGGTATGGTAATTTGTTAGGTTTATATCTTTGGGATAAAAAGGTCTGATTTTATTTTACATGCTTGTAAGAATCTTCTAAAGTCAAAATAATTTCAGCCAATCAGAGAACTGAAACGTGATATTCACGTGAATATCACGTGAGGGCACGTGATTTGGCTTTTTCAAAAACTTTTTTAGAGCTTAAAAAAAAAAAAAAAAAATTAAAAAAAAATCCATAGAAGCATGAAAGATAAATATATCAAACTAGTCCTGATCTTCTCCAAAGTAGGAGTGACTCAGGCTTAGTATGTTTAAGTGCTGGTCTATTGGCTGGCCTGACATACTGTCAGTCTTTTATTCGTAGGTATAGAGCTACTATTTAAACGCGTACTATATATAGCAGGAAGATACTACTATGAGTACAGTCGTATTTTAAGTAAGACGAAAGATGATTTTATTTATTTATGCGCATTTGGTATTTATACTGTACTATTTAATAGGGCCGAGCCGGAACAAGGACGAGATTCAATAGCCGCTGTCTTTTATAACGCGCTGGCGTTACTGGCTTAAATCTAGGACGCGTCTGTAGCTTACGCGGTATATTTGCTATGACCTGTGGATCTTCAGGACCGACAATACCCCCTTCCGAGACCATTGAGTGTCCCCACTCATTACTAGTTGTGTCCTTGTAGTTTGTAGTTGGCTTGGCTAAAAACTTCTTTGGAGTGCCCATACTTGCTGAATTACCATGGAATTTTGCTGGCAATAGCGGTTTTGACCTGTAGGTGAAACTTGATTCCTTTGGCAATTTGAATTTTTCTTTCGGTTGACTTGGGTAGTTTGTGGGTACACAAATAGGTACTGCTACTGGAGTGGCCTTGGTTGGCATTATTTTTGTAGGTGTGACACGTTTCTTGGCCTGTTTTTGTTTTAAAAAATCGACACTACTTTGCATTTTAATTGCGTGTGGACTACCAGGTGTAACTAGTTTTTCCTTTGATGAGCTGGCTACTTGTGCTACGGGCTTTTCCTCAACTTGTGCTGCTACTGGTGCTGCTTGAGTGTGTGATATGCTGTCCTCAGTAGTTTCTCTCCTAGCTGGCTTACTCTTGGGTGATGAATGGGTCGATTCTAGACCTTGCGAGCTGGCTTCAGAAATGTGTTCATCGATGATATTGTCACCAGAAGATATACTTTCGTATCCATCTAGGATATGCTGAAAATCATTACTACCAGTAGCTCCCTTCTCTTCATCCGGTCTATACGATGATGATAGTGGATCGTATTGCTTGATGGTATCTTGCTTTACCTCGGTATTTGAATCAACTACCTCGTCCATGTTACTTGCCTCCATAGCCTCGAACCATTTTTCTTCTTCATCTTGGGTTTTTGTGTGACCCGCCCGTCTCGAAGCATCTGCTTGTTGATTCACCACTTCAGGTTTGTCATCTGATGAATCTACCACAGGTGATTGATGGGGATGAGCTGCTGACATATTTTGGTTGCTTGGTGGTGTTGGTATTACAATTGGGTCAACATGATCTTGTTTGTTACGATTTGGCACGACAACATGGTGTCCCCCTCCTCCTCGATGTTGTATACACAAATATCTCGTAGTGTATACAAGCACTATTCTGTGAGTTACTTTAGCGAAGAAACTCGAAATAGTTATTTTGTGTCACCTCACGTACACGCGGTTTACACGCAACATCTGCATTAACAAATGATAAAAACAACTTATAAATAATATCACAGCTTACAATGCACGCATGGTCCACACATGCTTACTGCAATATGTTCACATTATAAATCATTCTCTCAGCCTGCTCTATTAATTGACAAGTACCGAAAGGACTTTGTCAATTCCTATATAAACCATCCTCTAATTCAATAATAAAACGATATTCAATTTACCCAGTCTCACAATTACCTTTTTCTTTATCTTATAAACTGTCTATCTTGTTTGATAGAACATTTTTTTTTGTGAAGAGTATAATAATTTGAAACTATCGTTTGTTACCCCTTTTTCCACCAATTTTTAATTTTTTAAAAAAAAAAAAAAACTGTTGTCAATGACAAACCCTATGCTCAACGCTACCATCGCTACGCGGTCTAGAGCTGCCAGTACAAATTCTAGTAACAATGGTGTCATTGAACCCATTACTACTACTACTTCTTTGGATGTCTCTGACGATGCCAACACATCAGCTGACGACATCAATGACAGTGCGTCAGGCAAAATTTCAGCCACAACGACCACCAACATCAACTCTAGTAACATGGATCTAGATACAGCCAATATGAAATCCCTCGCAGATCTGGATCTCGACAACTTCATGGATGTCACGGAAGTCCTCCACAATTTCAAAGTAGAGACGAATGCTTTAATCATTAAATTGGTCGTAGCTACTTCCGCCAAAAACAAAGATATCAATATGGTAAATAGCTTACACCAAGAAGTGAAATCAAGACAATCAGTGTTGAAGACAATTTTGGAAGCACAAAATCTTACATCAGATTCAGATAAGGAAAGTGATGCAGACAACAACGGAGACAAGCGCTCTACAGTACCGAACAACATGCCCTTATTTAAGTGGAACACAGCCACCAATTCTGACACTGGTTTCAACAGCCTCAAGGAATGCCTAATGAGGTTCGAGGACATACTAAACGCCCATGATTTGAAGTTGGACACTCATTGGAGACGGTTAATCGTATATTGCCTGTCAGTTGAACAGAGAGCATGGTTGGATGATTTTGTTTTAGACAACGCAAACACAGCTATATTGTACCACGATTTTAAAGCAGCTTTCATACAAAACTATGGAATAACCACGGC